TGCTCTCTCGCTGCTCAGACCTCAAACGTGGCATTCTTGTAGGTGAAATCTAAACGATTCAATGCTACAGAAGGTTTCTGTGCACAATTTATACCTAAATCTAGCACGAACATTTTCTTATGCATTTTTTACAAAAAGAGGGAAAAAACGTATTTCTCCGAAAATCACGTGCTGTTGATTCGCCACGACCCCTAGGAAATAGTTGGTGCGTTTGGGATAATGTTTTTATATGGTATCGAATCATGGTTTTAGGTTTTGATCAAAACTGTGTCAACGTTTATAAAACCAGCGTTTCTTTTGCCCGTGAGTTTATATTGTTGGCCAAAGGTGTATCCACGTGGAAGGAGATTTTGTAAGAAAAAATTGTAATGTCTTTAGGTCAGTTCTTTCTATGCGAGGCTCAGAACATATCAATGACCCATTGTAAGTATGATCGCGGCTACGCGAGCTATGCGTGCCCTACGAGATCCACGAGTGGTTTTAGAGAAGATAAAATCACGGAAGACACGAAGTCGGATGACGGACATCACAGGCCATGACACGCTCCTTCGGTCCTGCCGAAACATATATCGTCAAACGTACACAACCATTCTGGCTAGTATGAATAAATATGCACATCCGTGTGGAATGTTAGAACAATTAATTGATAATGACCAATTACGTGTCGGTTAACCGTTACATTATCTGAAGTCGATAGTACCTTACCGAAAAGGAGGCTATTCTCTGGAGAAATTTAGCCATGTCACCATGATGTGTTTCTAGTTGAGCTATTTTCTGCAAATGAATTAGGTGCACATTAATTCATGTACATGACTTAACACTACGAGACCCGGACCAGGGGCATAATATACTTTATATACTCAAACTGACCGACATTGCGTTCATCGAACTAAATGTTAGATTTATCTGAAGACGACAATATTTACTTTCTTTATGAGACAGAACTTCATATGCACGAGTATTGACACTGCTATATAAAGAAGTTTTAGTTATGAAATGGGAATCCCTTAAAGTAACAAAACCGAAGTAAAAACTGTAGCAGTATTGATGTGTTAAGAACCTGTATGTTATAGTTGGTTCTTCTTCGCAAATATAAGCGCCAAAAACCATTTCCATAATCACATTACATATCTGCCAAAGGGAGAGTCCATCGTACGATTCCGACTAATCACTATAACGGTACAGTTTACTTTCTTGACAATAAGGAGAAAGTCGGATATGTTGTTTTCACTTTTTGGGGGGCCCAACACTAATAAGGATTAGTAGGGTACATGAAGAACAATAGTTTCGATGTTCGGTCCGAGTTAGATTGCCTACACGGGTACGATGCTTGAAACCTTGGAGACCTCTTGGCTGGTACATGTACGTGTATAATATAAAAGCGGCATAAAACCTTCCCCAAGCCTATGATAAATGTAGTGAGTGTTGAAAAGAACCGAGGTAATCAAACATTTAATTCATTTTGTGGGCTTAAAAGGGCAGATAAAATACAATTACTGACGTTCCCTACGTTCATTTGTTCTTCTGGCTTTCTTCCTTTATATTTTTAACATTTTTCTGCTCCGAACAAACCGACGTATGAATCATACTGAACCTGAAACACAAGCTCATTATTCCGAAGACAATTCAATATGACCGACATGGCGAAACTACAGAATTCTTGAACCTTTTATCGGATTATGTGTAATTTGGAAGTAGATATGTAGGAGAAAGGAACATAAAGTCGAAGCATATTTCCGTATTTTGGTTGTAATTTTTAATACTGAATATATCCGCAGTGTATTGTCGTATTTGGACCTTTGAAAAACAAATTAAGAGAATTTTCCTCTTGTGAACACTCACATGAAAAGTGCTAAATACAACAGCGAAAACCTTCTCACCACACACATCATGGACATCCATTGCCTGACATATCTCACGAAGGTGACATGATCAGGTTTCAAACTTGCCACATCACAATCATTCATCGCTTGAAACCGACACCCGGACCACACATCCTGAGGCGAATATCCGCGACCCGCGCCTTAAGTAATCTCGTCATGATAAGTATCACAGATTCCACTGACATAACACTGAGCCTTTCACTAACTAATCATAATCTAATTTAATGTTGTTGCTTATCGACTCAAACATATTACAGGGGGTCCTGATGTGGTCGAACGTGATCCTGGCGTGTGCTGGCATTCCTTTTCTTGAACAAAATCCAAACATGACGTTTCAGCACGAGAACAATTCCAATCAGCATGCTGCTCGAACGGGTACTTACACAGAACAATTTATTTAGGCTGCCAATGACATCATTGTCACATGACATTCCTACCTCATCCTGGAAAGCGCTCTCGGAAGGGAATAACAGCATTCGAGGGTTGAGTCGGTGTCAGTGTTATCGTTGTGGACGGTGTCTTTTAGACCCAGTGATTTTTTTGGCGGATAATGGAAACGGGCAATTCTCTGGCGTTCACGTTGTATATTTACATGTCCAGTAACGAACGACAGGTTCCATACCGAAGGGTCGGTGGGGTAGGCCAGTGGTTAAAGCGGTCGCGCGTAACGCCTAAGACTCGAGTTGTATTCCCCACATGGGTACAATTAGATATTTAGTACCAGAAATAAAATTTTCCACATCTAAAAATATATGTACAAAATATACAATATAATCCGAATGGAGCCCTCCGGGCATCTAGACTTTTAAAATCATTAAAGACTTGAGTGAAATTACTTTCTATATTTATTCTCTTATTGTCTGGGAAACAGACTAGGGTACGATGTGTGAAGCCCATTTCAGGTGTCCCCCGTCGTGATATTTCTGGAATAGTGCTAAAAGTGGCATAAATCCCTACTTACTCACTCACCCATACCGAAGAAATAGTACGATGACTTTGTAACTGTGTGATTCTTCTTCTCGTGGGTACCTTTGCTCCTTGACATTTGTGTAACGCACGGATTATTACCTATTTATAAGTTTATACTACGTAATATTTCTTTTTATAATATGAATAATTATACAACCGTTATTACTCGTATCTTTATCACATTGTGAATGTCACTCAGCACATATTATACACATCTTAACAATACGAAACCTTTGATCTACCAACGTCGCGTACTGGTTTGTGACTGAGCATAAGTCTTTTAAATCATAGGCATAATAATGAGAAATATAAATCTATTGAACATTTGTTTATGATAGTCTTAAATTAGTATTGATTCTATTGATGAAATAATCCGATAATAGCTTCATACGTCATATTATTCATATGTGTATGCAAAGTAATAATACATTAAAATGGTAACAGCTGACGTTGCTTCCAGAAGTGTCGTATAACAAAGTTCAGAATGTTTCGGAAGAACCCCTTAAGATGGGGAAATCACTATCGGATTCATTGTTCATGTGTCTTCACTTATCAACTATCCAAGTTCACAGGTTTTATGTAAGCCTCGGGTGGTTGGCACTGATAAAGATACTTTTAAAATCATCTGCATTCAATTTGTTTTCAAAATCTGTCACTTTCAAAGAATTTGTCATGATATGTTTTCATTCAAAAGCATGTGCTAAAGAAAAAGCATATGCCTGAGAGCTCTTGAAATTGCATGGCCATGGCATAGTGCTTTCATCCTATCATTTAAACATGACACATACGCCATATTATGGATAATGACAGACCGTTAGCTTAAAGTGTTGGGCTATTGGCTCGTTATTTTCTAAAATCTTCTCCTGTATCGATTTCATAGAAAAGATATCGGTTTTGATAGCATCGACACGTCCACAACTGATCTGATATTCTTAAAATGAACATCATGAAAGCTTAAACAACATTTTCAATCATCTAAAACATTATGATTCAACATAGAGAGATTGAGGACACTACTTTCAATCACTCTTCGGCTGAAATATAATCAATAAAATCTTTGAACTACGTTTCATAGCTTTGATAAAGAGCGACCAATTGAGATCTATTTACTGGTTTTGAATCGGTTTTCATGTAAGTGGTCTTAGAAATTATATTAATATCATTTCAAATTTAAGGTTTCGTTGGCGACTTAAACCTACGATCACAACAGAAAAGCCACTGGACATGTATCTGACAAGAATCTCTCCAAAGAAAATTACACCCAAACACTTGAAAAATGTATACCATGTAAATATTCTATTTTAAAAAGAAGAAGAAACAAGTTACCTGTACTGCCCACAAGCTAACTTCTAGTGTCTTTATTGTTATTATTACTGAAAATCGTGAATGCCCAACAGCAACACATCGTTTTTTTCACATTCGGTGGGACAGGACAGTGTGGCCAATGTTACCCGACACCTGAGCCATATAAGTATCTGTTGTGCTAGATCATATTTTACATTCATTCAAATATTACTCTGGGATCAGACATTGAAAGTGTTGATTCCCAGGTTTACAACCACAAGACAGAATGCAATGGGTCGGTATGTGGTAGCAGCAATAGATAACAGGCCCTACAATAAGTCAGTACATTCACGAATGTCCAGAATGATTAGCCTGAATGTGGCACACGCTCCGTTCTTGAATCTGGACAAGAACATTCGACTCAAGTCAGGTCGTAGAAGGCATCGAATCGCACTCGTCTTCCTCTTGTGTAGGTACGGCCAGTCTTCTAGAAATTATTTCCTGTTGAAACTTCATTAACAACGTAGTCCACCCCAATGTCGATACACAAAGGCGCACAGCCCTCAAGTATTCTGGTTGTGGCATACGTCAATAAAGATAAGTACTTGACATTTTACGAGCGCTTTAATTTGCTCCCACTAACAATTATCATAAGTTAACTTATTACATCTACTGCCACATAACAACATAGACATGTTGATTACTGATTTCTGAAAGATCATTCTTAATATCATCGGGTACCCTACGTTACCTTGCCTTTATTGAAAATACAGGGAGAACATGTATTATTAGTTTCAGCATTCAATACTTGTTCTTTGTTGCAAGACTTTGTGACAAATTAAGCAACTGACCAGTAGACGTTCACAACGTTTATTTGAATTAATTACATGATAAAACGTTCACTTTGTAAGTTACAACAAAAGTGCAAACTTATACTCATGACTACGTAAGATGTAAATTATTGAAATCTGAGCTATTACAATATATTGAGCAGTATGCACCTCAAGTTGCATTTCATACTGTGATATGAAGCAATGTTGACATAAATAGATGTATACGGGATTCGAACCCACGATCAAATGTTTCTGGCTTGCCCGTGGACGCAACTCTGCACAGCGAATTGCGGCGCCTCAGACGACTGGGACGGCCACCCATGTAACCCGATTAAAAGAATACTTCCAACAATTCAGTTGTACAATTTCAATCATGACGTTCTCTCGCGAATGTGAAATTCCGCCTCATATTCCCCAAGGAAGTGATTTCCTTATTAGTCTTAATCCATTCATTATAATCACCATAAAAATGTAAATCACCACCTAATTCGCTCCATAAGAAGAGTTCCTCGCCTGATCCCAACTCAGTGAGCAATCCATTTTGTTACTTTTGAATGCGAGGTCCAATTTTATTCCTGGAGGGAGTTCTCACTGTCTGCTTGAATTAACAGAAGATTGATAAGCAAGGTCTTCTCGTCGAATTGTGCTACCTTAATAATACCTCGGGCAGCACTGTAACGTGTTCGAAGGTTTTAGTGTAATATACATAAACCGTCAAAACGATGGTGTGGTAGTACAACCGCGTTTAGTACAGGTTATTGTATGTTTAATCGAATGTAGGTATACACTTTGATCTGCATCAGATCGCACGAATAAACTGACGGCCAAAAGAAACTTTACCACTTTAAAAATGAAAAAAATTATTGCAAAAATGTAATAATACAAGTTCAAACTAAATCAATGCAAAACAAGTCGTCCAAACACAACAATGCTCTATGCAGAAAGAGATAGACGTCCAAAGTACGTCTTTTTTAGAAAATGCGAAAAAGTGAAAAACACGTACCGCTAAGGCAGATGAAACTACACGTGCAATGAGGGTACATAAATGATACGGACGGCATTTCAGACACTGACACTGATGAAAAAAAGCACGACAGAATGCCATGACTGACACTCAAACAATGCGAGCGGACCCTGGGTTGATCCAGATGGAACACACCCATGCCTCATTGTTAGAACTTTTAGTTGCTCCAATGTTGCTATATCTAATCTGACGAAACCTTAAAGACTGACCGGATAGACATCAGACAGACCAGGAACAGGCAGACCCAGGTTAACTACGCCCAATGAAGACAGTGACATTATCGGCGACAGACTGTGGCCAGGCGACTTAGGGCTCAGGGAATTAGGGCTTACAGACCTTACAGAGTACAGTTACTGACAGCATAACATAGTCGCCATAGACTAAGATGGGCCTAGATTGTACGTCGCTGGCATCGACGTTTCTGGCAGAGGGTCGTATTCACTGATGAAATCCGCTTCTGTCTGTTGAACGGCGGCATATTGCGTTCAGGGGATCGTGGCGTATGGTGGATCGGGTGTTATGGGTGGGGAGGAAGTTGTGAGCAGGAGAGAATACCACTGGTCATCGTTAACAGACATTTGACAGCTCAGCGTTATATGTATGACGTTCTTACCATTTCTACAACAGCTGCCACGTGATGTCCTTTATCAGCATGACAACGCGACCTATTAATGTACAGAACTTCCTTGCAGCCAAAAACATAAACGCGTTGCCGTGACCTTGCACGCCTCCAACGCATGTCCCCCATAGAACACCTCTGGGATGCAAGGATCGTCGTGTTCGACAGCGACCACATTCTCCAGCCGACCGACAGTAACTGATCCAGGCCCTCCACGAAGAATATCTTCCAGTCATCAGACGACTGACTTTTTCTGTGCGCCGGAGAGTTTTTGCGTGTCTTGCAGCAGGGGTTGTCATACACGCTATTAACGTGACGTGTCATTGAACTTGAGCAATTTTAGATGTGGGTGCCCTTTGTCCATTACGTTGAAAGCTTGGTTTTGCTACCCCACTTCGGGCAACTGTAATGCCAATATCGGAGGCTTATGACTGTCAATTAAAATATTGATTTCTTTGAGATTTGGATCTTTTCAATACATTTTACTGCATGCATCGATCTTTTGTGGTTTTTAAAGTAGAGTGATTTAAACCATGGTAAAGTTTCTTTTGGCGTCAGTTTATAAACACTCCTGGGTCAAGTTGTTTGTCGTGTGACTGTCACGTGAAGTTCCAATTTGTTTCCTCTCAGTACTGACCGAAATGAAGTGAAGTATTGTTACCAACATGACACATTTGCACAAATATATATAATTGAACAAATCCAAGAGGACAAACGCCTTAATACATAAAGCAAAATTGGCAAATGCATTACAGTAGCGTGCAATCACCATATGAGACAAGTAAAATTATTTAAAATGTAAACATGTGAAGAAACCACTTCAATAATGAATATAAAAACACTTGTTTTTACTCCTCAGACGTAGTCGAAATAGATACACATAAAAATGAAATACATAATTGTACTGAAAATTAAACAAGCCATATTTTACATTTATATGGAGCTCTTTTGAAACAAAGAGAACAAAATAAAATCTACATTTTATCCATGTTTGTACAAAGAAGGATATATTTACGAACCTGTATCTTACATTATACAAGAACGTTGCCTAAAATGGACATTTGAATATATCTTTGGTCAAGATCATCAATTTCAGAGGTGTCGATGCAATATCAACTTTCCCAATTTGTTCATCAGCGGAACACCCGTCTCCCTCAGTTAAGTCCGTGAACTCATTCGGCCATTTCTATGTCCCGTCAGTGGGCTACCTTCCGCCGAGTCAATACAATTATCTTTGACTAAATATCGCTTTCTGCAGCTAGTATTAGTCACTGATGTCATGTATGTATTTTGTCTCTGCATTCTCATAGAATCCCTGTCCCTCCGGAACTTAACAAGTCCACATGTTAAACACCTGAAGGCTGAAACAAAGCCCTGTCGGAACTTGGAATTCATCCAACAGTAGACAAAGGGGTTGTACATGCAGTTACTCATTGCTAGCCAATGAGACACCATCCAGAGAATATTCATGTGTTCGCCGTCGTAAATGCTGGGGTTTATGTCGCCTGCAAGGTTCAGAGCGTGTAGAGGAAGCCAGCACAGAGCGTAGATTAACACTACAGTGAACATCATCTTGGTAATCTGCAATACAACAACAAATAGTCTTTAATGGTAACATATGGAAATATTTGAGATTTGATTATACTACGACAATTATAAATATTAAAAAATATAAAGAAGGAATTAAAGCTGGTGTCAATAGCATGAGATAGTATGAACTTAAAATAAAAACGTAAATGAAACCTTTGTTTAGAAGTTTGTAAAACTTTCAAATAACGTTGGCATTACATCAGCCACAGTGTGCCCAATATTTAGGAAGTTCTTAAGAATGTACCTTATATTCAACCTACTGGTGTTGCCGTATCACACACAAAGAAATCGGTACATGTAAGTATACTACTCTAAAGTCGATTTTTTCATATTACTATAGTTAATGAGTGATTTGGTGTGCATGGTTTTACACCGCTTGTAGCGATATTCCAGCAATATCACGGCTGGGGAAACCGGGTATTGGCTTCACACATTGTACACATTGTTACGGGTCATCGGCCTGACGAGCAAACGTTCTAACCATTAGGGTACCCCCACCGTCCCCTATAGTTAATGTATGGTGAGAGATTAATTATAGTAATATGAAAGAAGAGAGTCTTCTTTAACTTTTTTTGAGTGTTATACATTTGTATATTCTGAGAAAATTCCTTTAATAAGTGTGTGTGAGTGTATCTTGAAACACTGTTAAAGCAGATACTGATACAGTTAGACATTTCATTTGCCTTTTTCCAACTACTATAAATGACAAAATTTCAATCAGTTAACTTTGAACAAACCATTAAGTGAACACCTGTCAACAGTGGGGCAAGAAACTGAATACCACAGAACAACTTACACAGAAGGACATAGTGAGTGAGCGAGTCGGGTTTCGTGTGCTTTTGCATTGTTCCAGCAAAATCAGTGTGAGGAACACCAGGAATTGGCTTCACACATTTTGCCCATGTGGGGAATCGAACCAGGGCATATTCCTGATAGCAACAGAACATGTACGTATATATCAGAACAGAGCAGTATGATGCACGTCGTAGTGCCTAGTCGATGACATACGTTTATAGCTGATGGCAACAGAGCATGAAAGTGTATATGAGATCGGAGGAGAATGATTAAGACATATGTTGATCGGTAAAGAGAAGGACATTGTGGATAAGATCATTACAATATATATATGTACAATGCATACATTAACTGACAGCTATTGAGAAGGACGGTGTACACGTAGGACAGAGCAGAAGATTTATCTAAACCGAGGGGCAAAAGAAAGTGTACCCAGTTTGTATTTCATGTAATTGAAAATTGAAAGAACTGTTGAAATTTGATTATGTCTATTCAACCATCACTCATTTCTGCAACAGTTTGTAAAATGTAATGTGTTGCTGGGTGATTTAGCGTAAAAATAAATTGGTTTAATGAATAGTGGGTTAAGAAATGAATTTGCAACCACATGACTCCAACCATGTTTGAAAGGTTGTAAATTTGTGCCACAAAATGCGAATCAAATGATTGTCAAAGATAATATGTCATATGTCATAAGCAGTTTTGTATGATGCAATTCAATACTTTTTACACGTATTAAATCAAACTATATTTTAAACAATAAAACCATGTAGAAGTATTGTTTTAGTACTATGCGCCAGTACAGTCAATATTTTAGATATCATGCAGCCAACTTGCGATATTTTTAATTGAAAATCAAACATATGATAAAATCAACTGACGTGTATAGTTTCATTTGCTCCTCAGTTTTATATAAGTGTATATCTGATGGCAGCAGAACGTGAACGTGTCAGAGTAATGAGTGAGTAAGTGAGTTGGGTTTAGCGCCGCTTTTAACAGTATTCCAGTTATATCACGGCGTTTCAGCTTAATGTGGGAGGAAAGCCCGAAGTGATGCAGGTCTCAGACGTTTACCACTTCGGTGAAACCTACGAGCACGGGTATGGTGCTGACAAACCTAGAAACATAATCGGGGCGAATCGGGATTCGAACCCACAATCATGGGTTTCTGGCGAGCCCAAGGGGCGAATCGCGGCGCCCTAGACGACTGGGCCGCCTGTGCCCCCTGTCAGAGTAAAGAAGAATAATTGAGGCGCATAATTGATAGCTTCAGAGAAGATATTTGCGAGTTGTGCCTCAAGAGCAATATACCTTTACATGAAGCTGATTGCAGCTACATGAATGTGTATATGTGATTGAAGCAGGATAATAAGACAAATTAGTATATACCTGAAAGCTGGCAAAGAAAAGATTGCATAGCATCTGACAATAACGAAATATTCGTGTATATTTTCAGAGAAGTAAACTGCATATCAGAACATCATCAATCTCGCTCGGAAAGCAGTGATAAAAGACTGTGGGTCATTGTGACATTTCGTTCAGAAATAATTACGGTCCGTGGTAATTTGATCAGCGCGGCGGTATTGGCCTGGACGTCAGGAGAGGTTTACCGGGAACCGCAGGGTATTAACTTAGCGATCATGCTTTCGCTAGGTATCACACCTCACTGGATCACCTTTAAATTGGTGTTCGTTTTCATTAGAGAGTTGATAGAAAGACATTGTTAACACCGAGTTAGACTGCATGTATACTTCAGAGCAAAACTACTGCCTGACGATCTGAATAATTAAGAAACTAACGCCATCTAGAATCTACATGAGACAGAAGGAACACACAGTACTGGTTGTCTTGGTTTTGCCAAACTAACTACACTGTGAATAAGTGAGCTGGGTCTATCTCCTATTTGAACAGTATTTTACTCATAACATGGCGTGTTAGCTATTTGTAGGGAAAGCCCGAAGTGATGCACGTCGATGATCCTGTCAAACAAAGTTTCATTATCAATGTGAATCTGGAATTACTGCATCCTGGCATGCCTAAGGGACGCAACGAAGTACAATTGCGGCGTCCCGGATGTCAGGTCCATCCATGTCCCCAAGACTAACTATATCACTAAGGGATATCAGAACGGTTTCTATTGCATTCGGCATAATAACGTATATTAACTTATGTAGATAGGATATTAGGATATTAAGTGGTCTTCAGATACTCTGTTTGTACCATCGCCTGATCAGAATTGATAAGTGCTAGATAAACTGAGGGGCAAGGGTAAGAAATGAATTTGCAATCATATGATATCTACTGTATTTAAACAAAGGCCGAAAAAGCACATTATTTATTCAGCAGTTGTGCATTATGCGAATTTTTGTTAAATATTGTCACGGAGCTGTGCTCCAATGATCAGGGGTGCCATTAAATAAGAATAAAGTAATAATGAAATAATAGGTTGACAGGTTTAATAATAACAGCATTTTGTCCTAATTTATGACAATAAAAGATGAGATAAACCTAATCTGCGCTGACAAGATCACTGATTAAATCCGTCAGAGTCAATACAAAAGAGGCTTAACTAAGCAACTGTATTACAGTAATAAAATGAGAGTAGCTAAACCAACACTTTGACAAGTTACCAACCAGATGCGCAGACAGCCAATTAAGTCGGCCGCGAACAATTAACACCTGAGTCAATTAACTCAACAACTTATGAGTGAATAACCTCTGCTGGGTTACATAGCGAGAAATAAACACTGAGGACCTTTCCCTAAAATAAGTCACTTGGACAATAAAATATACGAGTACGTCTGAATATGAAACTGGTCTAATCGACTAAAGATTAAGTCACTTTGGCTGAACAAGGAAATACCAAATTTCCCAAATAGGTAGACAATCGCGGGAAGGTTGGTAATCCACGGATTACTAGAAAAACTGAGTATTGGAAACAATAGTTACTAATTAGCTAGACAAACACGAGAAGGATGGTAATCCACGGATTACTAGAATAACTGATTATTGCAAACCCAAGCTACTAAGTTTAGTTTAGTACAACCAGACAAAGTCAGAACGTAGATCGAACAGTTTCCCGAAACCACTTGCCAACTAAACCTGAGTTTCGAAGGTGACCACCCCAGTAGCGAGACAATCGTAAACGATTTAACGAATCCTGGGAGCTGAAGACACAAGATCCTGGACAGCCGGGGAATACTATAGTCTGAGGTGCTTAGCCAAATTGTGTTTCTAAACATGGGGAAAACACTAATAGCAAAATAACTACTATCTCTATACTGGCATTGTAAGTATCAAATAAAGCGCTGATCATAAGCTATCCAATGGTACCATTAAAGATTTACAACTAACTATTTACAATTATTGAGGAGGCAAAAATGATCAGAATTACGTGAAAAATATCTGAGTGTACATAACAATTCTCCTAACGTTTGAAAATCATAGATACAATAACGTTTTCAATAAAAGAATAAGGTAGCGAACATAGAAGAGGTAACATACATCAAGTCAATACATTAGACCACAAGAGAATGAAATAATTGGACCACTAATTCCCTGACTGACGAGCGCCGGACTTTGCCGAGAGGTGTCGGAAATAAAGGCGGGGAGTGAAGGGGTCACTAGACCGTGACACGAGCAAAATAACTCCCCGATGACAAATTTAAAAAAAAATAAACCACATTATTTTTTTATAATTATATTCGATTTAAAATAAAAACCATGTTGAAGTATTCGGCGAGTGTTGACGAAGCGCAAGTTCAGTTCATTTCTTTGTATAGTATAAGCTAACTTAAAAAAAATCAATAGAAAATAAAATAAAATTGTAAAATCAACTGAGAGGCAGAGTTCCGTTTCTTCCTCATTTTAGTTCGGTAGGATGGTATGCTATACAATTTTAAAGGTCACACTGCCACATTACAACGTACCGTAGGAATACTTGTATTTAAAGTGATCATCCGCTACTTTCGAAGAGTTGATCATCCATCAGTAAACACAAAGCGTGTATCATCAATAGAGGAGGAATTAAGTTGGCACAAAATGTTTCGGAACACACAAGCAGGCATGACAATTGCCAATTACCAAATACCAAGTTTCTTTAACTAACGCCAAGATACCACTTCAAGCCATGATGGTGGAGTGTCGCTTTGGCGATCCTGACCTAGAACCATGACTAGGACCTCAACCAGTGCTGA